CAAATGAGATCGATACTACAAGTGAGTAGCAGAGCTAATAAACTTAGATAAAAGAAGGCTTTTGGCAAATCTGGTTTGAGCAGAGTTTGTGCTTTTGTTTGTTTGTTTGAGTGTCCATAATCCTTGTGCTTCTGCTCCTTTTTATAGAGGTCTGGAGGAAACCCTCCTGCTGAGGTTTTGTACTTGCCCGAAAGAAGCTTGGGCAGCTTGTATTGTGAAATGTTTAGAATAAGCAAGTTTGAATCTCCACCACATATCTCCACCACTTGTAATAAATTAATAATAAAAAGAAGCAAGCTGTCTTCTTCACATGCCTCCTGCAAGAATGTCTGAATGCTTTTCCAATCTACTTGAAGGCATACACATCTCCACCACCCAAACGAATTGGAGAAACAATATTATAATGTCCAACCCTTCCACTTGCATCTAAATATCCTTCCAAGTTAGCTTTCTTGCATATTAATCCTCCAAATGCCATATTTTACCCAAATTGCCCAAATAAGTAAAAATGGGTATATTTTGAGTGCAAACACAAAGCAAGAAGCATAAGTATTCACCAAAAAAAACAAGAAAAAAGCATAAGTTTCCATATTTACAACTGCACCACCAAATTCACCCTTGTCGCGCCAATTAACGACTTTCCTCACACTAGCATCATCCCACCTCACGATCATAATTGCCAAAATTTCATATACACAGGAACAATTGCAATTACTGAAGAACCAGATTACAATCAACATCTTCCGCACAGTTTCCTCAGCACAAGAACACATTATATAAATTGTTGCATGCTAAAGATCAAACCAACTTCCTAAAAAATATTACACATGGACCAGTAAAATCGTATTACAAAGGATGATATGGCATGTGATGTGGCGAGTGCTTAATAGCATCCTAACATTACCCCTCCCATGAAAATAACCTTGTCCTCCAGGTTGGAAGTTCACTCTAGCAACAATCCATGTTACTCCCTTAATGCTCAAACAACCAAAACGTGAGCAGCAGCTTTCAACTATGCTTTCCATATTCCTCTGCTCCCAATATTCACCGCTGATATAATATGCATGGAACTTGACAATTGGCTCCAATTCTATATCCTTCATTTCTATCAGTATAAACAAAATAGCAATTGATTAAGATCCCTTTTACTTAAATGACAAGGGCAATACTGATCAGCTCTCTCTGCAAACTAGCAACTAATATACCATCTCATTTTGATTTTCCTTCTCTGTCATAGAATCAGAGACCACCATTGCAGACTCCACTCCACCATATTATACATGTTATGTTTTGTAATCATACTTTGCAAAGTATTCCCGAGACAGCAGAACGAGGGAAGGATCAAGGTTCCTGCCAATATTCTGATTTTTAAAATGCTATGGAAATCGTTAGAGGAGTTAAGAGAGACCCGCTTCCTGAAATTGTCACCTTCGCCTGAATTTGCAACTTCTGGTCTATATTATTTAGAGTGCCAATAATATCTACGGTGTTTTATTATTCTAGTTTCTGTTTTTATCTTTTTTGTATCTGAATTTACAAGGCATTATTTGTCCTCTTATGAACTAGAGGCACGCGGCTTGAATAAAAAAAACACGTTGAACGGGGGAAATAGACCTACCTCTAGGCTCTTACTCTAATCCCACATCGAACAATACTATTACTGACACAGCTGCTTATAAGTTGTTACAACACACAGTTACATTGCAGAGTCTAGTAGCGTGGACTTGCAACTAAGCAGGGCATTAAGGTGATTGATGGAAGTGGAGCCCGACCCAGGTGGGTAAAAGTGTTTGAAATCTGTTCACAAACCATCATATGGGTGTGAGGTCGCCTTAAGCACGCCCTATGCTACTCGGGTTAGTAGGGCACCCCACTCTCTAAAGGTGGGTAGCAAACCAACAATGAGCTTTAGGCCAGGGCGTGATGGGGTACAACAGCTGTCCGGCTGCCCAGATCCCGCAGATGAGGATGCCCTTACCTAGCGTGCTGCCCGGCTCGACTCCACATCCTACAACCACTTTTTGCCAATCGTTCTAACTTTTTATTTTTGCCATATTGCCTTGTTCATCTTCCTTCCCTTGCTTCTGGGTTACCTCAGTTCATTGAGTCATCTCAGCCTGAGGTTGCCAACTTAAGTATCTAGCAAATAACTCAAACAAAGATGCACACAATGTTGAGAAAAATTTAGAATAAACAACTCTAAATTTTATATGTCAAAGAAGAAATTCACTCGAAAATTTGAGACACAACAAAAGACTTTATTAAACTGAAAATATTACAAAGAAAGCTCTAAACTCTCACAAACACTCAACACACTATAAGACTTGTAGTCTTATTTTCTTCTTCACTTCTCGATGATTTACAAGGCTAGAGTACTTGGGTATTTATAGCAAGCTATATGAGATACACACAACACATTTATTTAAACTAATTAATTCCCTACCACACAAAGTGCTTTGCAGCAAACTTGCCACAAAATATCATCTATTCCACACATGTTGAGAAGTTTCTACAAGCTTCAACAAATTGCTTGAGATAGGACTTGGGCTTTATCATTTGGGCTTTGTATGATAACTTGCGTTGGACTTTTGGGCTGACATTGATTCTTAACACTCCCCCTCAATGTCAGCTCTCATTCACTGTACTATGTTGAGCTGTCGACGAAACATTTCGAGCTTGCATGTACCTAGACTTTTTGTGAACAAATCCGCAACTTGATCATCCGTCTTGATCTGTCTCATCTCAATTTCTTCTTGCAGAACTTTTTCTTTGATAAAATGATAGTGCACTTCAACATGTTTAGTTCTTGCATGAAAGACCGGATTCTCCGCCAAAAGAATTGCCAACTGATTGTCACAATACAACGGAACTACATAATCCACTGGTTGATGTAAATTATTCATTAGCTGTATCAACCATGTACTCTCTTGAGCTGCCATTGTCGCTGCTCGATACTCAGCTTCAGTGGTTGGTAATGAAATCGTCGACTGTCTCTTGCTACACCAAGAAATTGTTCCAGAACCAAGCTTAAACACATACCTATTTGTTGATCTCCTGGTGTTATGATCTTCTGCATAGTCAGCATCATAGTAACCAACTAACTTGCAGTCTTCACCTTTCTTGTACAAAAGACCATAGTCAATTGTACTCTTCACATATCTCAGTATTCGTCGAACTGCTTCCAAGTGAGGCTTCTTTGGATTTTTCATGTACCAACTCATCACACCAACTACATAAGAAATGTCAGGTCGAGTCAAGGTTAAGTAGATCAGACTACCTACCAATTGTCGATACATCATCGCATCTTCCAAATCTTTTCCTTCATGTGCACACATTTTGGCATTTGGCTCCATCAGCGTTGAAATCAACTTGCATTCGAGCATTCCGAACCTCTTCAACAAATCTTTGGCATACTTCTGTTGACGGAGAAATATTCCTTCTTGTGTGCGATCAACCTCTAGAAAAAGGAAATGCTTGAGTTAACCAAGTTCCTTCATCTGGAAACGGACTGATAAATTCTCCTTCGTCCAAAGAATTTTTGCCTCATCATCACCGATTATGTTTAAGTCATCCACATACACTAGCACGATAGCTAGCTTTCCTTCATTGGCTTTGACAAACAAGCTGGAATCTGCAGGTGTTACTGAATAACCACTTTGTGTTAGAAATTCAGAAATCTTACCATACCACACCATGGGTGCTTGTTTCAATCCGTAGAGTGCTTTTCGCAGCTTACACACATATTCAGGATGATCTTGGCTATGAAATCTCATTGGTTGGATCATGTAGATCTCCCGATCCAGCTCTCCATGAAGAAAAGTATTTTTCACATCCATCTGCCATAGATTCCAGTCTTTGTTGGCTGCAACTGCAAGTAGGACTCCTACTGTTGTAAGTTTTTTCACTAGACTAAACGTTTCATCATAGTCTAGTCCGTACTGTTGAGAGAAACCACGAGCTACCAATCGTACCTTGTACCTCTCGATTGACCCATCTGGACGGCGCTTTATCTTGTAAACCCACTTGCAGAATATGTATTTCACATCTCTTGGCTTTGGCACGATATCCCAAGTCTGATTTTGCTGAAGTGCATTGATCTCTTCTTTCATAGCTGTCATCCACTCAGAACTCTACGATGCTTCTTCGAACGTCTCAGGCTCTGTTGCTTCTTCAATTATGGCTGCATTGGCATATTTAGGATTTGACCTTCGTGTTCTTGTTGACCTTCGGAGTTGAGATTGTGGAGTTGATTCTTCTGTTTCACTAGGCCCACCATTTTCATTTGGTTGTTGATACACGTCAGTTGGAGTTGGATAGTATGCTCCCTCATCTTCTGTTGCAGCTTTTCTCCAAATTCTCTGGAGTCTAGTAGCACCTCCTTCTCTGAGGACCACCAAGAAGACGCTTCATCAAACACCACATCTCGTGAAGTGTAACATCTTCCACTTGTTGGATCGCAACATTTCCACCCCTTTATTTGGCTGTCGTATCCCACAAAGATACATCTAACAGCTTTCTTGTCAAACTTGCTCCGTAAATGATCAGGAACAAATACATAACATACACAGCCAAATACTCGAAAGTAACTAACTGTAGGTTTCATATCCCACAGTTTTTCAAAGGGTGAGACAAATTCTAACTTTGGTTGAGGAAGCCTGTTGATTACTTGAGCTGCAGTTTTCATATCTTCTGCCCAAAACCTTCCTGGTACATTCTTGTCATGGAGCATACTTCGACATATTTCTACAAGATGCCGGTTCTTTCTTTCCGCTACGCCATTCTGTTGTGGCGTGTTGGCACATGTGAACTGGTGACGCATTCTACAATCTCTTAGATACTAGGAAAATGCATTCGAGGTATATTCTCCTCCATTATCCGTGCGTATGCAACGGATTTTCTTTCCCACTTCTCCTTCAACTGTCTCCTTAAACTCTTTAAATTTTGAATATGTTTCAGATTTTTCTTTCATAAAGAAAACCCACACATAACTGGAGAAGTCATCAATGAACGTCACCATGTATCGATGGTTGCTTGATGGGCCCGAACACATCGGAATGAACCAACTCCAATGGCTCTTTCGCTTTAAACTTCGACTCTTCGTATGGTAATTGATGTGCTTTACCATACTGACATCCTGCACAAACCGTGCCCGTTCTCACGTCAAGTTGAGGTAGCCCCTTAAACATTGACTTCTTCATCATCACATTTAGCTTGTGATAGCTAACGTGACCTAACTGCATGTGCCATAGATCTGATGTTTCATTTTTCCTTGTCCTATCTACATATGCAGATTCTGCTGACATTACGTAGACTGACTCCAATCGTCGCCCCTCCATTGTTGGTATTTCTGAGATTTTGAGGTCACGATACACCTTCACATCTCGTGGACCGAACAAGACATAGTGGCTTGACGATGTCAATTGGACCATAGACTCACAATATATAGCTTAGAAATATTATTTGAGAAATTTCTTGAAACATGTATTAGATTTTCAATTTTCATGTTAGTAACTGTATTAGTGCCACAAAACCATTTGGATTGGTGTTTGACTCATATTGAATCTATCAAATGAGTGATTTTTCGGTGTGACTGGAACACATGGTGATAACAGTAAGATATGTGTGTAAAAAAGTTAATAACTTCAAAAATTACGGAATTCCATTTTTATTTCCTCTTTTTCTTTATTTATAAACATATAAGAACACTATTCTTCTTCTCTCTCTTTTTAATTTCTTCTCTTTTTCTTGTTTTCAATGTATTTCCAAAATTAAAATGTCCACAAGCACATGACGGAACCCGCTGTCCCTAGCCATAGAGAGATCGTAAAAAGGCCCCAAGCAACTCAACTGCTATCAGCGCACAACAGATATGCAAAATATTAATTAGAGAAAAAGGAGAGTGAGAATAGTGAATAATTCAAGATCAAACAATCTATCAAGAGATTGAAAATTATATTTTTTTACTTAGATAATCTATGTTTAAACTTTACACAAATTCAAGACAAACGACCAGCAGTTGAATTTAGAATGGATATCAACATTCGCTTGATCGAAAGGTTGCTCATTTGTGGCCGAAAGGCAAGAGTTCGAGTCGTGGAAACAATATTTTTGTAAAGCAAAGATAAGTTTGCACACAATAGACGTCTCCCCACGCGCCCCGACCCTCGCAAAGCAAGGAGTTTTGTTGGCTTGAAGTTGCCCCTTATCAATATTCGCTTGATCCTACAGTGATTTTTGCGCACTATGAGGTCATAAAATACAAATTACAGGGCAATAATTCCTACACCGGAACACCAACGAGGAAGACTTATAATGTCATGCTTTGGAAACACGTATGCAAACTAACAAAGTAAGTACTGTTACCAAAAAATGAAAAAGATTCATGCAGAGAGATGAATAAGATCAGTCCAAAGCAAGAAGCGTAAGTGTTCACCAAAAAAAAGGAAAAAGCATAAGTTTCCATACTTACAACTGCACCACCAAATTCACCCTTGTCGCGCCAACGACTTTCCTCACACTAGCATCATCCCTCCTCACGATCATAATTGCCAAAATTTCATAATTTAGACCCTGTTCGAACCTTGATTCATATACACAAGAACAATTGCAATTACTGAAGAACCAGATTACAATCAACTTCTTCAGCACAGTTTTCTCTGCACAAGAACACATTATATAAATTGTTGCAGGCTAAAGATCAAACCAACTTCCTAACAAATATTACACATGGACTAGTAAAATCGTATTACAAAGGACGATATGGCATGTGACGTGGCGAGTGCTTAATAGCATCCTAACATTACCCCTCCCATGAAAACAACCTTGTCCTCAAGGTTGGAATTTCACTCTAGCAACAATCCATTGTACTCCCTTAATGCTCAAACAACCAAAACGTTAGCAGCAGCTTTCAACTATGCTTTCCATATTCCTCTGCTCCCAATTTTCACCGCCGATAAGAGATGCATGGAACTTGACAATTGGCTCCAATTCTTTATCCTTCATTTCTACCAGCATAAACAAAATAGCAATTGGTTAAGATCCCTTTTACTTGAATGACAAGGGCATTACTGATCAGCTCTCTCTGCAAACTAGCAACTAATATACCATCTCATTTTGATTTTCCTTCTCCTTCGTAGAATCAGAGACCACCATTGCAGAGTCCACTCCACCATATTATACATGTTATATTTTGTAATCATACTTTGCAAAGTATTCCCGAGACAGCAGAACGAGGGAAGGATCGAGGTTCCCACCAATTTTCTGATTTTTAAAATGCTATGGAAATCGTTAGAGGAGTTAAGAGAGACCCGCTTCCTGAAATTGTCACCTTCGCCTTAATTTGCAACTTCTGGTCTATATTATTTAGAGTGCCAATAATATACCTTCGCCTGAATTTGCAACTTCTGGTCTATATTATTTAGAGTGCCAATAATATCTACGGTGTTTTATTATTCTAGTTTCTGTTTTTATCTTTTTTGTTTCTGAATGTCCAAGGCATTGTTTGTCCTCTTATTCACTAGAGGCATGCGGCTTGAATAAAAGAAACACGTTGAACGGGGGATATAGATCTACCTCTAGGCTCTTACTCTAATCCCACATCGAACAATACTATTACTGACGCAGCTGCTTATAAGTTGTTACAACACACAGTTATATTGCCGAGCCTAGTAGCGTGTGCTTGTAACTAGGCAGGGCATTAAGGTGATTGATGGAAGTGGAGCCCGACCCAGGTGGGTAAAAGTGTTTGAAATCTGTTCACAAACCCCCGTATGGGGTGTGAGGTCGCACTAAGCACGCCCTATGCTACTCGGGTTAGTAGGGCACCCCACTCTCTAAGGGTGGGTAGCAAACCAACAACGAGCTTTAGGCCGGGGCATGATGGGGTCTCCAAACCAGATATCAAATTTAATGCCTAAAATAAGCGAAAAACTACATGACAACATCTCTCGGCTTAGAAATTCGTATCAAATCGTTATCTCTAAGAACAAGGAGGAGTCTCAGAAACAGTAATTCATTTATCCAGAGACAGACCCAATCTCTGTGTAATAGAGTCTTGCAAGGCAAATATAAAGCTTCCATTGGGGTACAACAGCAATTCTCTACAAGAACAAGCTGAACAACAGCAAAATCACGTCCACAAGAACATGACGGAACCCTTTACCCCAAGGTATAGAGAGACCGTACATAAAAAGGCCCCAAGCAACTCGACTGCCATCAGCGCAAAACAGATATGCAAAACATTAAAAGGAGAGAAAAGGGAGCGAAAAGTTGTGAATAATTCAAGATCAAACAATCCATCATGAGTCTGAAAATTCCACGTTTTTTAACTGTGATGATGATCTTTGTTTAAACTTTACACAAATTCAAGACAATCGATCAATCGATATAAAATACAATTTACAGGGCTATAATTCCTACACCAGAACACCAACGAGTAAGAGTTGTAATGTTATGCTTTGAAAACACGTACGCAAACTAACAAACCAAGTACTGTTACCACCAAATTCACCCTTGTCGCACCAATTAACGACTTTCCTCCATAGTTCTGATCATCTTATGTTTCTTCAACAGCCAGAACCAGGAACCTTTCACCTGCAGCTCCATCCCAACAATTACAGGATCTCCATGAACAAGACATAGGCTCCCACCCCCCCCCCCCACCCCCCACCCCAAACAAAAACAAATAGTCGTATCAAAACAACGGGGCAGACCACAAATTTCATGAACTCGTTTTAAGTCTTTCTCTCTAAATCATACCAGAAAAACCTACGACAGTCCTCCCTCAAAAAGAGACAAACAAAAAAACGTCATACATTCATGTTTCGCTGCATGTTCAAGGCCTTAAGGTTGCACGAAAAATGCGTGCTCCCCTTCAAAAGGGAATCTGAAGCATGTCATTAATTTTATCTATAATTGGTTGTCCTCCGACTAGGCTTATGAGTTCTGAGTTAAACAAAGTGTGATGGTTCGATTATTTTTTCTATCTCGTCTTTCTATTTTAACTAGGCAAGCCTTTTTTAATTCTAAGTTAAATTAGGCGTAACGGTTGCCTTATTTCGTCTGTTTCATCTTTCAATATTAACCGAGCGAATTTTCTGAGTTTTGAGTTAGATTAGACGCGACGGTTGAATTATTTTATCTATTTCATCTTTCTATATTATGTGATTGATTTCCATTCTAAATCTTGTGAGTTATTCAATTCAATCTAAGTACATATGAGAACTTTATACCCTTGACTCACTTTCTTTGAATAGGGTAAATACTGAAATTACGACTCATCAACTCCAATTGCAATAAGTGCACTTGCCGAATAGTCAATAAATCCCAGCATTGATAAAGATATACTTGTAGAACAAAAGGGAATGAGGACGTTTTGTGAGGATCCTCTTCGAATTCTTATTGTGAGGATCGTGGGGATCCTCAAATCGTGTCTGTTCATCGTATATCGTACTGTTAGAAATCATTTTAAATATTTTTCTTTAAAAATTAAACATGAATAGTACCTGACGAAAATTGACCGCACGATGTACAATAAACGAGTACGATTTAATAATCTGAAGAGGATCTTCATACAATAAAAGGGACAAACATGGCTTGAAAACTGATCCAACAGAGATAGATATGAATTAATGTCTCAACTGTTGTACGGATAAGCTCAAATGTTAAAATTCCCCAAGAGGCAGGAAGAGGAATTCTCCAAATCAGACTATAAAACTTCCCATCAAAAGTTGGAATCAAACCAGGAAAGGAGATAAATGGAATTAAATCCCATAATAAGACGAAATAGGCAAAGTAATCCATCATGCCATAACTAATTCAGATGACTCATATGGTATCACACATTGAATTGAAGAATAACCCACAAACGAAATAATCCAACCGTTGCACATGGTCTAACTAAGAACTTAGAACACTCGTCTGGTTGATAAGAAGGACAAAATAATTCAGAACTCAGAACTCATAAAGCTCATTTGGTGCCTCAGATTAGACTAAATTCGATAGTTGTATTTCTTTCACATCACACATGCATGTAATACAGTTAATAGCGGAAATAAGCAAATCACAAATACAATTAACCACTAACCTTGTGAAGCCATTGTAGCAGAAAAAACTAGAGCTCTTCTACACTCAACACTACTGTATGCAATTAACAAACAATGGGGCTTGTTCTCTCTGTTTTGCGTAATCAGAGTGAATGCAGGGACCTCTATTATATATCCTTAGTGGTGGTATTTGATTAGGTTACTTCCCATCATGTAATCCTAATCAAATTGTATAAACAAATAACCTTATCACCAGGGCTCTGAGGGTAGCCCAAGTAGGCCCCAGCCTAGGGCCCCCTCTTCGGAAGGGCCCCAAAAAAATTTTATATCTTGTAATTAACATATAAATACAAAAAAAAATTAAGAAATATCATAATTCATTTGTT